GGCAACAGCCTAACCACTGCACCCCACTATAGCTCTTGGCCTTTCGGTGTGAGTTTTTGCCTGTCCTACTCTCTCCCTAGATGTCGAGCTGGATAAGCGCATTGGCGAAACAGCTGCCATGTTCTCTAGACTCACCAAGAGAATACTTGACTCAATACTTGACTTTTACTTTCTACTTAATCTTTTGTTTTATATTTTCCATCTTGATTAATACTAATATTGTCAATGTAAATCATTGTTTTAATTGTTTTTATGAATAATTTTATTGTGAGCCACCCTGAGTAGACATATGTCTAGAAGGGTGGGATAAAAATCAATCAATCAATCAGTCAGTCAATCAATCAATCAATCAATCAATCAATCAATCAATCAATCAATCAATCAATCAATCAATCAATCAATCAATCAATCAATCAAACAAACAAACAAACAAACAAACAAACAAACAAACAAACAAACAAATGGCTTAATAAGAAGCTGCCGACATATACAGTACCAAGATCCAGGTCTATAGAGCCTGTGTCCTGAGCACACTCCTGTCCTGCACTGAGTCCTAGACCTTTTGTGCACGACAGGAGAGGAAGCTGAACACCTTCCATATACGTTGTCTCTGAAGCATTTTTGGTATCACCTGGCAGGATAAAGTTCCAAATACAGTAGTCCTAGAACAAGCTGGAATTTTTAGCATGTATACATTACTGAAACAGCAACGTCTATGTTGGCTCGGGCATGTCGTGAGAATGGTTGATGGTCGGATTCGAAAAGATCTCCTGGATGGAGAATGAGTGAAGGAAAATTGCCCTAGAGGGAGATCACAGCTGTGATACAAGGATATCTGTAAGCAGGATCTGAAGGCCTTAGGAATGGACCTCAACAGATGGGAAACCCTGACATCAGAGCCTTCGGCCTGGAGGCAGGCGTTGCATCACGGCCTCTCCCAATTTGAAGACCCTCGTCCAGCAGACTGAGGCCAAGAGGCCGTCCGGAAAGCAGCAAAATCAGGGAGCTGGACAGGGGACAGGCTGTATTTGTCTTCAGTGTGGAAGGGATGGTCACTCTTGAATTGGCCTCCTCAGCCACAGGAGATGCTGTTCCTAGACCTCCATTCAGAGCACGTTACGTGAGTCTCTCGGAACTGAAGGATGCCTACAGATGATACGTCTTCCAAATGGAAGATCTTGGGCTGAATCTTTACCAAGGTCAGTGGAAGCAAAGCAGTGTAGTAAGGACCAAAATGGGCAACGCTGGCCTTTGAAAGTGTGTGATTGGCAACGAGAGCATCATAAATGACACGAAGTGAGCATAGCTGTTTGCATGTGGAAATCTCCTTCATTTCCATCAGGCGTGCAGGCTTGCAAAGTGGGGTTCCGCCCTTGCGCCCCCCCAAAAAAACCCCATCATGCATGCAAGATGAACAATATGGTTAGACGTTTATTTGTTGATGTTATGTTCTTTCACTTTGTGCCCGGCCTTTCTGGATTTTCACACGGGCAGGGTGGCTTTACAAGCTGTAATCAAATGTCAGGATGAAACAGCACCAGTAATTACAGTATTGGTGATGCTGTAGACAGACGTGGTAGTACTGCTGGTAGTCTTAACGGTGCTCCCTAAAAATAGGACCAGTAGATTAAAATAATGCCATATGGTCCTCGCACAACATGCGCTCCCTTCCCTTCACCAAACCCAGAGCCTTCCCCCTCCTGCCTGATCATTTCCGAGGGCCTGCCTTCCGCCTTCTGTTTCTTTCAGCAGAAATCATGGATTAAAGAATGCAGAAGGAAGCCTTAAAAAGAGGGTGCTAATAGATTTATTATCCTACCTCGGGCTTGCCCCAGGTCTGGAATTTTATGGGGTGAGGTGGTCTGTGTGTGGGGTTGTTCCAGACAGCTGTGCCTCCCATTGATCATCTTCCTTCATCCTTGGAGCCCCTTTTCTATATGTCTCCCTCCCGACAGCTGCCCATTTCTGGAGCTGCTGCGTGGTGGCTTTTCGTAGGCAGTGAGAGGGACAGGTTTCAGGGAAACCCGCCTCCATCCATCGCAATTTCAGTTTTAGGGTTTTCCAGGGTTTCAGGCCAGGGTGGTGGTGGTGGTGGTGGGAGAGCATCGTCTACCCCTACCTGGAGATGATGGGGATTAAACAGGCATAACATAGCGGTTAAAATTGTGAAGCCGTGAAATGGGACGTCCATGGTTTGAATCTTCCTTCTGCTGCGATTTCTGTGTACTGTCATTAGGTGTGTGGTTTTTTTAAAAGATTTTTACCCTGCCCCCCTAGACAAAGTCTACTTGGGGCGGCTTACATACATGATTAAAACATCACAATAACAATAACACCGTATAACGGCGAATCCGCATAGCGATCCCGTTTTCGGGATCACTAATGCGTTTGTTACTTTCGCATTACTTAAAAGAACTTGTAATTTACGGTGGAAAGACAAAGGAATGCAACTTGAACCGTTCTCCCCAGAATTCATCTGGAAATGCTGTTTAAAAATATCTTTACAAACTAAGAAAGCACTACGAGTTATATCTCCAGAAATTAAATTTTGAAACATTATTGTTTGCTGTTATGTATGTATGTATGTATGTATGTATGTAACGAAAATGGCTGTCGGACCCTGGAAACTTCGCTAAACAGTGAGTTTTGTGCCCATTTGGAACGCATTACACCCCGTTCCGTTTAGCGAAGTTTTCACATAGCGAAGGTTAATCCGGAACAGATTAACCTCGCTATGTGGGGCACCACTGTATATCTCCAGAAATTAAATTTTGAAACATTATTGTTTGCTGTTATCTGTCTGTCTGTCTGTCTGTCTGTCTGTCTGTCTGTCTATCTATCTATCTATCTATCTATCTATCTATCTATCTATCAAAAAGTAATTTGATTGTGTTCTTTTTTAAAAAATTGAGTTACAGGTAGGAACTGTACTTGTCTGTCACTCCTTCCAGGCCCTATGAAATGTTAAGTATTACTGTATAAGCATTGCTGTTGTCATGTGGAATTATTTTGAAGAAAGCGTGACCTTTGGTTCCTTGGGGAGTGCACGGAAGTCTTGTCCCCTTGGGATTTGCTTGCAAACCATGTGTGCAAAAAAGCATAACCTTTAGAACAGCTGCAGCTTGAAATTAGCATCTTTTATATACATATATATATAACACCATGATGACTGCATCTCCCTGCGTGTTTGATGCAGGAGGAGGAATATTTTAAAGTGGGCTGCCTTCAGAGAGAAATCCTCACCACCATAGTGACCTCATCACACCACTCCTTAAATATCTCACTTGCATTGAAAGCCCTTTTAGGGTTGTTGTTGTTTTTTTAACTTGAGGGCCGACAGCAGCAAGAGCTGGCTGGATAGCTTAGTAAGTTAGGTATCTAGCTGTGAAGCCAGAAGGTTGGGAGTTCAGTTCCCCCCACGGTGCCTTCCTGGGAGAAGAGCCAGCCTGGGTGGCCTTGGGCCAGCTGCACACAGTCCCAGGGTGCCCCTGGAGGAAGGGAAGGGTAATGCACTTCTGGAGTCTTCTCTACCTGGAAAACCCTGGAAAAGGGTTGCCATAAATCAGAAAGAACTTGATGGCACATCATTATTATTTAAAAAATACCTGGCACAGTCAATCAATGACACATCATTATTATTTTAAAAATACCTGGCACAGTTAATCAAAATTATTACTGGTATTATATAACAGATAGAGTTTTAACCAACAACCTAAATAGCTGTTAAATAGCGGTGCGGTGTATATGCTATTCCTAATACTGCCCTTTTTCTGTAACTCTGATGGTGGTGTGATTTCTGAGATCTGCAGCTGCTTATAACATTGCGTGAAATTTCCTGATATGGTTCCCAAAGCCCCCATGATGACAGGAACCACAGAAGTGTGTCTCTTCCAGAGGCGAGATGTTTCGATGGCCGGGTCTCTGTCCTTTGCTAAGTTTTTCCAGTTCTTTATTTTCAACTCTGGCATCCCCTGGATTTGCAGTGTCAATGATCCAGACCTTTTTTCGTTCTATCACTACTGCTGTGTCTGGTGTGTTATGTTCAAGGTGTCTGTCCGTTTGGATCCGGAAATCCCACAAGATCTTGACTTCCTCCTTTTCTGACACCTTTTCCACCTGACGTTCCCGCGGGTTTTTGAAGGCCAGCAAGATCTATTTTTTGCATAATGACCCGTGCACTAATTTTGCCACTCTATCAGGTGTAATTTTGTTTGTGTCATCTTTGGACATTCTTAGATGGGGTGTGACACGGTTTCCTCTTTTTCTTGGCAGAGTCGACCTTTGCTGTTAGCGCGAATTCCTTGGATCTTAGCTATGATTACTATCATTATTACTCAGAAATTCCAGGCACAGGCACATTATAAAAACATGGACGGTATCTGGTATTATATAGCAGATACAAGTTTTAACCAAAAACCTAAGTACTCTGTTAAATATCGACGCAGTATATATGCTGTTCCTAATATTGCGAATTCCTTGGATCTTAGCTATGATTACTATCATTATTACTCAGAAATTCCAGGCACAGGCACATTATAAAAACATGGACGGTATCTGGTATTATATAGCAGATACAAGTTTTAACCAAAAACCTAAGTACTCTGTTAAATATCGACGCAGTATATACGCTGTTCCTAATATTGCCGTTTTTTGTGACTCTGATGGTGGTGTGATTTCTGAGACCTGCAACTGCTTATAATACTTCTCCTCCTCCTCCTAATACAATAAATCTAGCGCTATTTCTAGGTCAATCTGGAGACGTTTTGCTTCTTCTCCAGAAGATGGCGCCAGCAGCTTGCCTTTGAATAATATTCCATGTGAGCCAGCAGGAAAATGTCCCCCTCAAATTGCTGGGACTCCACAGCTTGTCCAGGGCTCCTCGGGCTGGGTATACTCGCAGGAGGCACCGAGGGGGAAATCGCACTCCCAGCCCAGAAATCCGACTCTTCCTTCCCTCTCCCGTCCTGCATTTTGCTGACACACATGTTTTTTGGTACCAGGTGAGGTCTCCTCCAATGTGGAACTGAACGAGGTGGAAGACGGAGAAGAAGAGGAAGGGGAAGAAGAGGAGGAGGAGGAGGAGGAGGAGGAAGAAGAAGAACAGGAGGAGGCTCTCCCCGTTGGGAACCTGGGCTTTTTGGATGGCGGGACAGAGTGGGAGCTGTCGGAGCACGAGCTGGACCAAACCATTCAGGCCCAGGTGCGCCAACTGCTGGAGGAGCTGGAAGAAGCCCGGGAGACGGCCCTCAAGCATGAGGATGATGCCCTGGAGCTGCAAGGTAGGGTTGTGTGTGTGGGGTCCCTGCTGGCTTCTCGTCTGTGGCCGGTTGGGGAAACCACCGCTGCCCTTTCTCCTGTTCGCTCTTCGCATGCTCAGCCTTGGCGTTCCGGTGCTGCCTTTTGGCTTGCGATCTCACTGGGACAAAGAGGATCGCGCCTCCCCCCGGTTCTCTTTCTGACCTTCTTCCTCATGGGTTGTCACCCATCACTCCCCCCCCCCACGTCCCCCCGGTTCTCATTCTGACCTTCTTCCTCGTGGGGTGTCACCCATCGCCGCCCCCCCACGCCCGTACAGCTCTCTGCCTGTCCTAAAAGCTTCACACCTGAAACGCCCAAGAGAGGGTTTATATATACATATATTCTCCAGAGCTTGTCATCTGTTACTTTTTTGGATTACAATTCCCAGAATCTGCTGGCTGGGGGATTTTGGGAGTTGTCCTTCCCTCCCCCTGCACCCCAAGTAAAATCTCAACAAGTTGAAGAGTTTAGGGCATTCGCCCGATTCCTTCTCTTCCTTGTCTGGCTCACATGTTTAAAAAGGGAATATTTCGGACTCTCCACTCAAAACAAGACTCATCCGCTCATTCTGTCTGGGATTTAATTATTTCAGACCCAGCGGCTGCTCAAATAATTACGTGAATCCTTGTTCTACCTCTTAGGGTGTTTTGTCTGGGGGGGTGTCTTCCTATCTCCGACCTACGCCTGGAGGGTCATCAGCGCAGTCGGGGAGAACCTGCCTGCACCAGGTTATAGTCCAGTAGTTCTGAACAGGAATCTTGGCCAGCACAGCTGGTGATGAAGGCTTCTGGGAATTGTAGTCTAAGAACATCTGGGGACCCAAAGGTCGGGCAGCGCTGTTTTGGATTCATTCATGGGCTATCTCCAGGTAACCATGGGAAGGGCTCCTGTGTGGCACCCGGAGGAATGCAGCTACTCAAGGTAGAAGCAAGAGTTGCAGGTGACGGGTCACGATAGAGGAGGTACCATCTCCAGGCTTCGAAGGAAGGGACCTCCATAGGCCAGATGCAGGGGAAGAGGGGGAATCAGGAGACAGTTATATCTCGTGGTCTCTCGTGTGGACCCAAATGTGTGGAATTAACCTTTTTTTCCTCCAAGATTCAGCTGGTTTCCATCTTGCTTTGAAGGAACCACTGCAAAGCTGGCTTTCTCCTCAGAGGGTCACTTCTGGTGTTTGTTTGCTTCAGATGAAATCTCGCCCTTTTGGGCACTTTGGAATCTAATTTTTAGCAACCCCTTTGCTCCACTTATTCAATGCCATGGTGTGGCAGCAACTTTCTAAATACACAGTTTGGAGCATTCCTGAGCCCTGCCACGCGGTGGCAGGATTGAATCTGGAAAGCCTTGAGGCGTGCAGAATAGATGCCCTGTTCATGGTAAAGCTTATCCTCCTGTTACTTTTTTGATTGATTGTTTCTCCAGCCATCAAAAAGGTGGAAAATATACAATGTGGCCCTCACGCTCAAAAGTTTGGAAACCCCTGGTCTAGATCAGTGGTTCTTAACCTTTGTTACTCAGGTGTTTTTGAATTGCAACTCCCAGAAACCCCAGCCAGCACAGCTGATGGTGAAGGCTTCTGGGAGTTGCAGTCCAAAAACATCTGCATAAGAAAGGTTAAGAACCAGTGGTCTAGATGAATGGTTTCCAACCTTGAGTCCCCGGATGTTCTTGGTCTACAGCTTCCAGAAGCCTTGACCTGTGCTAGCCAGGATTTCTGGGACACGTAGTCCAAGAACATCTGGGGAATCCACGGTTGGAAATCACTGGGCTAGAAGTTTTCAGACTCCCAACTCCCATCTTTTCTTACCTAGTGGCCAGGTTGGGTTAGGGTTGAGGGCAGCTCTCATTCAACATCTGGAGGGCTCTGGTGTTTTCCTTCCACCCTCTAGAGCTGGAGGGAGAGGTTTTCCTTTCGATGTACTCCTTACTTCTCCCAAAACCACTCTGGGCCTGAGCTACAGACATGACTTTTGCGTTTGATGCCAGCACTTGGAAAATTTGCTTCCTTTGGACTCCAACCACCATCGTCCCCAAGTAGCATGGTTGAGAGAGTCAGGGAGCTGTTGTTCCAGGAAGTAACTTCTCCAAGCTCCGGAACAGAACAGGACCAAAAAGACACTTGCGCCCCCAGGTTTAGGGAAAGAGAGCAAATCCCATTGTCGGATTAGAAAACTAATACAGTACGGAACCCACCCCCTCCCCTTCTCTGCAAGATCAGTTTCTACTGATTCACTTATCCACGGTCTGAAAATATTAAAAGGGGGGAAAAGTACATTTCTAAGTAAAGAGCATTATAACTGCAAGTAATCTTTAGCTTTTATTAAAAAGCATGGAAGAAAATATCTCAGTTGTTAAAAGTAACAGTTTATAAAATAAATGCACCACTTAGCCCCTTAAGCAAGTTCAGAACTCTTAAGAGCTTACTCAGCCGAACCAATTAAAATCTATGGAGGAAAATCCATGCTGACTGTTATTGCCAGCATCCCTGGAAATGAAGCCTGCTGCTGCTGTGCTGCATGATCGTTGTTCTCTGATGTCTGGCGCCCAAGGTGGCGTGGAGTTGTGATGATGGGACGAATGCCTTAAATATTGCCTTTCAGTGTTGTAAGCCACCTTGGGTCCTTTTCTAAGGAGAAAGGTGGGGTAAAAATATTACAAACAAACAAAGAAACGCACACCAAGCCATACTTTTAAAACACACGTTTGTCTTCTGGACAACTTTTTCTACATCTCCCATAATCAGTTTTGAACACCTTATAGAGCCCAGCCTTCCAAGGGTGACACTGTCTCCCGCCTGCTCTCCACGGAGACGTGTCCCAGCCAGCTAGGCGCCACGCTGGCGTTCAGTCGTCTCCCTTCAAAGAGGCTGCAGAAGTCTTAAACCTAGAAGGCAGAAAAGAGCAAATAGAGTAACGTGGAATTTTGATACGCCAATAGGTATAGAATAGATGTTAGTATATGATTGTTTCTCTTTTTCCCCTTTAACCTCAACTCCCCCTTTCCTTTTTGTCACCCCTCTTGTTAAAAAAAAAAAAGAGGTTACAAAAGTCTGCAAGAAGGAATGCTTTGGAAGGAGAACATCCAGGCAGGCAATCTGTGGCTGAGAAAGCAGGTAGGGAGCCCGGGCAAAACCAGCTATTGATTCTGTTTGTCTCCGTGGCAGGTTTGCTGGAAGACGAGCGACTGGCAAGCGCACAGCAGGCCGAGATCTTCACCAAGCAGATCCAGAGGCTTCAAGGTCAGTCCTGGTGTCCGTTTGACGTTTGGCCCTGGGTTGCGGGCGCCGGGCTCGCTCCTAGCTGCTGACTCTCGTAAAGGCACCCGAGAGGGTGAGTCAGCTTCCTCTCTTGATCTAAGTGAACTTTCCGCCCCGTGACAAGGATACCCGATCCTTGATGAGGGTAAAACTAAGAATATCAAGGTAGATGTTGTAGCAGATTCAAAGAGGGCATGCTGGTGCTGTGTTAGAAGTTAGGCTGTAACGGAGCAGGGCGAGAGGAGATTAAACAATATTCTGCTGAGGAGTTGTAGCTACGCAAGAACAGACAGACTAGAGACAGCCTGCATCACCGTTTCCTTATGAGAAAGAATGTGATGCATCAAAATGTAAAATCAGTTTGGTTGTGTGCAAATATATGGCCCTCTGTATTTTTGCTTCTTCTGGATGGCATAGAATAATGGATTTGGCTACTCTAAAAAAACAACAACAAATATTTGAAGTGTGGATTTATTACAGGGTGCTAACAGTTTATTGGATGAAAGGAAAGCAGTGAAGGAGCGCTAAAGCCAACGAATAAAGATGAAGACATTATAATACACATAAAATGCAGTAGGCCATAATATTTCAGTCATGTGATGAGAAACAAAACAAAACAAAAGAATAGAGGTTGTCAGATCTGATCATTCAGGGTGGAATAACTGGGAGAAAGAGTAGAACTTCTTGGTTGAACAACCTGGGAAACTCGTCTGGAGATCGCAGAGCATCTTGGTTTTAGAATAAACCGATCATCTTTTCTCTTTCAGGACGCACATCTTCTAAATAGGGACTCAGAGTCCATCAAGCGAGCCCCCCCCCCCCCGGGGCAATGAGGGCAATTAGGAGAGGGGATTCGTCATGAATTCCTCATTAATCTCCCAACCCTGCTATTCGGAAAGTAGTAAAACAAGCTGAACCTAGAAGAGGAAATTTTAAATTAGCCTTCCTGAGAGCTTTTCCTGAACAGACATGGCCTGTGTGGGAACTTTATAGGAGGGTCTTAACCTCCCCCGGGAAGGACTTTTGGGGATTCAGGAATAGCAGTTCGTTGGGAGGGCTTGTGGGGGGGGCACCTCCATTTGAGTGCAAGACCCAGCTCCTTGTCAGAAAGCCAGCAAGGCCTCAGCAGGGCTTAAGGTAAAGGAGCAAGCCAAGGCGGTCAGTCCCCAGATCTTCTCCCTGTCCAACATCTTGTTGTCGACACAGATTTCGGCAGCCTGTAACGGAAAGATTGATGTGCAAGAGGAGATCAGAAGCAGGATTTGACCCCGTGCAGAGCCTGGAACGGTTGATCTTTGGAGGAGACCCAGACGGTACTGGAGGGGGCCCAGCTCAGCCTTTCTTGGCATGGAGCTGTTAAGAGAGGACTTTGCTGCTACGCTGTTCTTAAAAGCCCGATATGAAGGGTGTGTTTTTAAGGTCTTAATTTAGTGTGAGCCACCTTCTCAGATGTTTGGCAAACCGGGGGCTTCTAGAGGAAGAGTAATAAGCTTAGATCAGCAGAGCTGGAAGGGGACCGTCCGGATCGTCCAGTCCATCATCCTCTGCCATGAAGGCCCAGCAGAGAATTGAATTTCCAGCTTCTGACTCCACAACCAGATGCCTTAAACCGCTGGTTCTTAACCTTGGGTTACGAGGCCCACGGAGGGAATCGAACTCCCAACCTCTGGCTCCACAGATGCCAGATGCCTTAAACCACTGAGCTATCCAAATCTGATAGTTCGGTCATCCTCTTAGAACGGCAGAGCTGGAAGGGACCCTCTGGATCACGAAAGCCAGCGTTGGTCGTGGAGGCCCACGGGGGGAATCGAACTCCCAACCTCTGGCTCCCTAGAGACCTAAGCCCCTGAGCTATCCAACGGTTAATGAAATAAATACATGGTAATAGCAATGTTCCTAGGGTAAGGGATCACTTGCCCGGTGCTCTTGCTAATGAACGTCGTAATGAATGGATATTCCTATGCAGCTTGCTTTGTTCCAGTGGTAATTAATTTTGGATTTGTTCCTTTTTAAGCATTTCCCCCCGCCCAAAAAAAGAGGAGGAGTTGAGGAAGAATCCCCTCGTCTTTGCTCTTTTAAAGGCCCCTCGGCACAGCTTCGGTTTCTCCCAGTGAGCCGGTCTTTCTTCCCAGCGCCTTTTGATGTATTTTTAGGGCTGTAACTCAGTTACTTCTCACTGAGTGAGTGTTAATCTGTGCATAATGCCACTATAAATAGCCGGCGCACTGTACGATGCCCGGCCATGGGTCTCGGGAGCAGCAGGTGGCGTAGCTATATGTGGCCATGTTGCCTGGGGAGGGGAGGCCGTGGGTCACCCTCGCTGGACTGGGACGACTGGCCCACAAGAGAAGAGGGAGGACGTCCAGTGAGGGTTGGAACCCTCGAATACATTTCTTTGCACTTTGGGCTTTGATGGCTGAAGGAAGTCTTTCTGTCTTCTGACGGGAGAGACAGACGGACGAGTGAGGGTCCCGGGCAGAACATCACACCGGCCTGGGATGGTGCAGGCCACGCACATCTGCACCAGAGGGAGCCAGTGGCATCATCTACAGTAGAACAGCCCACGTTCAGGCCACCCCATGGATTCCCTCACGGACAAGTAGGCCATGCACATCTGTGCCAGAGGGAGCCAGTGGCATCATCTAGAACAGCCCACGTTCGGGCCACCCCATGGATTCCCTCACGGACAAGTCTGGCGACCCCGGAGCGAAACAGGAGGATCCTGGGCAAAAGTCCATCGGCAAAATCGGGAGTTTTGTCTGGTTCCCGTTGAGGTGTGACTGAATCTGGAGAGGCTGATCTCTCCTCCTCTCCCTCCCTCTCCCTGTTGAATCCAGGCTGACCCTGTCACGGGTCCAGGATGGGTCGGTTGCCGCAGATGGCGGATTCGGAACATCACGACAGGGGCGACGAAATCTTCGTTGTTTAATTTTGCTGCCGTTGCACATTTACGGTCAGGAACAGGCGGAGATGTTTGGAGGTGTTCTGGCCTCAGGCGCCAAAGTTAGGTGGGTGGCTTTGGACCCTATGTTCCTTGATGTAGGTGAGGGAAAGGAGGGCCCCCCCCTTCCTGCTCCATCACAGGCAGGGAAATGCCTTGGGTTAGCCCTGCCTTTTGTTCATATACCAAGCTCTGCATTGCATGCTTGAGGATAAGAATGGACGCAAGGGGGACCAGTGTACCTGACCTGTTCTTTATGCAAGAGAATCGGGTGGTCAAATCCTGCCTTCCTTTCAAATTGCATACAAGGGAGTTGTAGCCAGGAAAGGTAACTTTTCCAAGCTCACCAGTGAGTCCAGTGAATGGAATCCGGGTGAACTCGGAGTGCGCTGTCAAAGGGTTCCCCTTGGAAGGATTTAAGACCTTTCCTCTGAGCCGGCAGGTGTGGGGTTGCCAGGAGCCCTCGTGAAAGCGGATGGTGACCCGGTTGCCTGCCAATTACAGACCAATTCATTAATTGGCCGACCCCTTTGCCGGAGGAGATTGTATGGTGGGTGTCTGGTGCAGGTCTCAGAGATTTACTGGCGGAGGCACTCGGAAGGTACCGAGAAGAGTGCCTTTACGGCGCACAGCGAACGTGGTGGATTCATTGCAAAGTCACTTTGGGGTTGTAATTGGGCCGGCCAGTTCCTGTGAGTGATGGAGGCAGTCTTGCGACATAGCTCAAGAGCATTTGCTCCAAAATAGGACTAGGAGTGGAGTTGGTTTTCAGAGAGAGAAAGAGAGAGAGAGGAGAGAGAGAGAGAGAGAGAGAGAGAGAGACGGGCCTGCAGCATTCCATAGTGAAACCATCAAAACATGGGCAGCCGTTTGTAATTTACAGCCTGTCATTCAGGGAATGGCAACAGAGGTGGAAAAAGCACATGTGATGTGGATCAGTCCAGTTGCCCCCAGCAAGGCGCACGTGTTCTAGGACGCTTATTGCACCGTCTACTCAAATGTAGGGTGGCGGTGGTAGGACCTCCCTCTCAATGCTGTGGATAAGCGAATGTGGTTTGGGCGGATTGAGTGTCACGTAGCATCCATGGCCTCCTGCCTTTCGCGGATTACAGGCATGTTTGTAAATATTCCTGTCATTTTAGCAAGGATGCGCGTGCGAGCCTTCCCCAGCGCCTGTCTTGTGTGGCCACCTGTGGGGTTCACTTCGCCTTGCCCTGACTCACCAGCAAAGAAGAAGAAGAAAAAAGGAGTGTTTGTGAGTTCTCTGTCTCCCCCGAAGGGTTTTATCAAGCTGGGAATTGTTTCATTGGTGACCACGATCAGCGCTAGTGACGCTGGGTTGGAATTATCTATTTATTGAAAACATTTTTACCCTACTGTGACCCTTGAAAAAAAGGACCTCAGGCACCTTGCCTCATGAAGAAGACAATCTCAAAAGCTAAAAACAGCAAATCATTCGAACATTTGTAAAGCGTTAATTACATGGCTTGAAAAATGTTAGGGAAAAGCATTACAGAAAAGAGATTCAGAAGAAGCGAAACATAAAACCTTCCTCTTTACGGCTTCCTAGGGAGTCACACATGAAAGGGAAAGCGTGGGTGAAGAGGAAGGTCATTGTCTGCTTTTCTAGGAGAAAATTCTAAATTAGATAGATAGATAGATAGATAGATTTAGGACTTCCTAGGGAGTCACACAGGAAAGGGAAAGTGTGGGTGAAGAGGAACGTCATTGTCTGCTTTTCTAGGAGAAAACTCTAAATTAGTTAGATAGACAGACAGAGAGACAGAGAGACAGAGAGACAGATAGATAGATAGATAGATAGATAGATAGATAGATAGATAGATAGATAGATAGATAGATAGATAGATAGATAGATAGATAGATAGATAGATAGATAGATAGATAGATAGATAGACAGAGAAAACATCCCCCCCCCCCTGCCACTTTCTGTGACCCCCCCAGCTCCAACCCCCACCCCGGAAATCCCTTCCCAGTCCCCATAAGAGCAGTGGCCCCAGGAGGTAGGCAGTTCAACAGGTGCAGTCCTTGTTTCCTCCCTGCATTGACAAGGGGCTTTGAGTCCCTGATCCCGGATCACCCTGGCCGGGCCCCCAACTGGCCCTTGGGGCCCCTCCCTGACCCAAGACTCCTGGGCGAGGAAGAAGGCCAGCTCAAGACTTGCCCCGGAGGTTCCAAGCAGTCGCTGCCGCTTTAAGAGCCCAAGGGGCCCCCCCAGGCCAGGTGCAGGGGCCGGGCTGCCCCCCCACCCCGACTGGTGGCAGCCAGCATGGACCTGAGCCCCACGCCCTCCTCCGTCAGCAGTGAGTCCTGGGGCCAAGAAGGGGCTAACGTGTCCGGCGGCGTGGGGAGGCAGTTGCCGTGGCAACCTGTTCTCGTGGGACCCAACTGCCGACCCGGCTGCTTGGCTTCCATCCCTTCCCCTTCCCAAATATCCGTGTGTTCCCCCCCCAAATCCTTCAGGATCCCCCCTCGCTGGGGGTCTCCCTTGGCTTCCCCTCGTGTTGTTCCCCCACGCCGGCCCGACTCGACCGCTTTGGCGGTGCTTGGTTTTCTCCCGTGAGCGGCCCGTCTCCGTCTTGGTTAGGGTTGCCAACTTCGCTCGTCTTTACGGCTCCTGGGCTTTTAATCACAGAACAGTTTGCAGACTCGTTCCCTTCTGGTCACCCTTGTATTCAGAGCCCCTAGCTATGGGGGGAAAAAGAAGGAGTTTGTTTAGTTGATGGCATTTTTATAAAAAAATTGGTTTGGGTCTGTATTTGTTTTGCCTATCTCTGCAAACCAAGTTTCTTCTCAAGGGGCCAGAGGAGGCCACCAGGCTGAGCTTTTGGTCTGCTCGCTTGCCAACCCTACAGCCCAGATCCACCCGGAGGCCCAAAAAAGGTCCTTTCGAGAGAATTCAGCTTGAACACCTGGGCAGGTTGGGCAGGTTGGAAGCATTGCGACAGGAATGACCGTCATGTCTGTAGCGAAAGGGGTTGCTGTCGGTCCTTCTGCAGTGGCAGAAGGTAGATTGAGAATCTGGGCCCACCTTCCTCTCCATGCCAAAGATGGTCATCCTTTTGGGAAACAGAAGGATTTTTTTTCAAACTTTGCTTTGGAACATGGGGCCATGACCAAGGAACATGAAGTGGAAGTCATGTTAGTGTTCCAGAGAGGTGATTCTGGTAGCTTTTCAGGCCTGAGAAATCAGACTAGCAAATGAAGCTTTGCTTAACCTCGCAATAACAAATCACAAAGCAATCACATTTGAGAAGGTGCTGCTGCGATCACTGGACACTCCTAGCATTTAAGGAATTCCCTTTTCTAATGACGTCCTCTGTACAGCTTGACTTGCAGTGAGGGTTAATGACAGGCAACGGATAACAAATCCAAAACAATCTGCGATAATCCTGTTTAGGTGATCCCATTGTGTTAAGTGCTAACTTTACCCCATATTTTTAATCCTCTCTCTTTCTTACTGGAGGTTCAAACTTGAACTCCTCTTGGCCGTTGTCTGATGTTGCAACCACTAGCTCGCTGTGTGTGTGTGTTTTTTTCCAATGTTCAATTTGACTTCTTGTTCATTTCCAGTCTTGGTTCAGGTGCTGGTTATGGCCTAAAGTGCGGAATAAATCCAGTTTTGAACAGAGAGAGAAAAAGATTTAAATTATTTGGACGGAGTGCTCTGACTCGGGGTGGCATGGAATGTCGTTATTTGATATTCTTTCCTCAGTTAATGGGATTTTCATGTAGACACGTGTAATGCATGCAGACAGATATCATGATATTAAAATGGATTTGCTGGCCCAGTCTACAGCAACTTGACATATCCCAGGAATGTTATTTCCCTCTCCCTCTTTCTTTCTCTCTTTTCAAAAGCAGCTAGTTAGATTCTCCTGGGAATTTAATAGCAAGTCATTTTTTGATCTGTGCATCTCAAATATAGAATCATAGAATAATGGAGTTGGAAGGGGTCTCGAAGGCCATCGAGTGCAGGAATCCAAATCAAAGTACATCAGACAGAGGGTTATCCCGTTTTCTCTTGAATACCTCCAGCATTAGAGTACTCACCACATCCCCCTGAGGTCATGGGTCCCATCATCATACTGCTCTAACAGTTAAGAAGTTTTTCCTGATATTCAACCGAAATCTGGTTTCCTGTCACTTGAGCCCATTGTTGCATGTCCTGCACTTGGGGATGATGGAGAACAGATTCTGGCCCCCTCCTGTGTAGGACTGCTTTTCAAGTATTTGAAAAATGCTATCATGTATTTAGGGGGTGGGAGAGGTGTAGAAAAGAGATGCATCATTGGGTTAATGTTTAGCTTGGAATAGGGTTAAATATGAGGATGTGCGATAGCAATGCTTAAAATCGGTGTAGAGAGACGCGGAAGCTTTTTCTCCTCTCTCAGAGTCCTAGAACCCGGTGGGATCATCCACTGAAGCCTAATGAGGGAAGGTTTGATAACGAGGGGGAAAAAAAGGAGCCCGTCATCACATGGCTCATGGAGTTAAATCGGAGTTTGCTTCCATGGCATGTAGTGACGAGGGCCACCAACCTTAACAAGTTTAGGGTTAGACACATTCATGGTCTCCAGTGGCTACTCGTCATGATGGCCAAGATCAGAGGTGACATGACTTTGAGCCCCGTTTCCTAGGGGGAAAGAGCAGAAGGGAACCGTGGTGCTGAGGTCCGATGGACGGGCTTCTCTTAGGCACCTGGTCTGCGTGGGAAGAAATGTGTGGCCAGACAGGGCAGGCCACGGGTCTGGTCCACCCTGGCTCTTCTCACATTCTTATGGCTGTCTTTCATCACATTTGTTTCCCCAACATTTGGACCTCAGGGGGCATACTACTTCTGGACACGGAGGTTCCACTTCTCTTGATCGCTCCTGAATTTCCGGCCGTTCAGTCTCCCGGGGTGATCCATCCTGCACGTTTGGTCTCCCTGACTTGTCCGAACCGGAGCAGTGGCATCTCCGCTGTCGGTGCGAGTGATTTTTTTCGTAAAAAGGCCTTCTCTTTCCCTGTCCCATCACTCTCACCCCCTTCCAGCTCAGATGCGCTCTCTGAAGGACGAGTTCGATTCCGTGAAAGAAGTGAAAGATGTGGAGCTGGAGCGCCTCGAGCGCCAACTGCAGGAAGCCCACGAGGAGATCCGTGGCTTGCACCTCGACGCCGAAGAAGCCGCGGCCGTGCACGAGAACGAGATCGCCGGCCTGCAGGAAGAGCTTTGCCGGCTGAAAGCGGAGCTCGAGCGGGTACAGGTGGACCGCCAGGAGTACGACATGGAGCTCACCGCTCTGCGGGCGGAGATCGCGATGAAGAAGGGACCAGGCACGGGGGACAGCCCACCGTCTCCGGAGAGGCCAGTTATGCCACCCTCTGAGGAGCAGCTTCCCAGTGCTTCCGATGAAGTGACCAGGCTCCAAGGTAAGTCGGGGGCTTTTTTTTATTATAGGGGTGAAACTCTTTTAGACCTCAGATCGATTGATAGAGAGAGGTGGAAGGAGCCTTCCCAAAGGGATGATGGTGGCATGGAACAAAAGCACCCATCATCCTCGGCCAGCTTGTGCCCATGGCCTGGGTTTTGAGCTTGAGGTGTCAATGGTCCTTCTCTTGGGAGAACCTGACACCTCCTTTCTTTCCCAATCGAGCTGCGTTAGGCTGTTACAGCCAAAGTGAAGGCATCTGGGAGATGAATGGAGAAAGTTGGTTTACAAAAACTTGTTGCACAATCAGCGTGTCGGTCTCTCAGGGTGTCACCAGGCTCTTTGATAAGGCTCTTGTCGCCCGTGAAGAGAGTTTGTGGTTTCCCCGAAAAGCGTCGTCCTCCTTCTGGTAGATTCCAGTCCCTATCCTCCAGATTTGGGTTGATAGTTTGCATCAGCTGAAGCCGGCGATGCCAGCGTGGCCAGTTCTTGGGAATCATGCTTGAAACAGCCTCTCAAACGATACAGCTTGAGAGAGAAGCTAAGAACAGGAATTTTGTCTGGCCTTTTTCATTCCTCTGATCCATAATTCTGTAGGTCGGAGACAGGGAATATCTTTGTACTGCAAATCCATCACAGTCATCGTCATAGAACTGGAGGCTATGGGTCCCTTCCAGCCCCAGAACTCGGCTAACCAGCTAACCCACGGCTGTTGGGGTTTGCGGGAGGCTCTCTCTGCTGACCCACAAGGTGGTTTGGGTCCCCCCTCCCATGTGCCACACCACAACAGCCAGGATTTGTGGAGTCGGAAGCCTGAAGGTGGACTGTGGCACTTTATCCGTGGCTTTGCTCCAAAAGGCATGGTGGGTGATGGTGCGTCTCTCCCCACCACCACTAATGGCGTTGTTTTTCTCCTGGCTTTTTGGTGAGGAAACACCATGTGGGTATGGCACACATGACAACGTCTGCACGTAGAGCCAGCCAGCCCCTGGCGCCACCTGTTGCAGAATTTTTCATTTTTTGGTAAATTCCTCTAGCTGTGCAGGAGAAGTGCAGGGATTTGCAGAGCAGAATAGGTTCAAGTTCCCCAAATTAGTCCACCCCTCTTTTCTCCTTAACTGGCACCAAATCACTCACTCCAAGACATTAATCGTAGAAAGAACAGAAGCCATTTTCTTTACTTACCGTTGTGAGCGGATCAAAGAGCAAACCAACCAACATGGCTGCTTTCAACAACAAACTTCAGCAGACTAAAGAGAGGGAAACAGATGCAGAGTGCAGAGGCGGGGCTTTCTTTGAATCCAGAGGTTGGGAGGGAACGATTGGTTCATGCTGGATAGATTGATAGTCACCTTCGCCAATCAGATACCCCCAACATTATCTGGACATAAGTGCATCATGGTTCAGAGACTCCTCTGGCTCTCGGGGAAAGGCGCTACATTTCATCCATACTTGTCTGCTTTTCAGAGGCGCTCCAGACTCTCAGAGATCAGTACGACGACCTCATTGAGGAGTACCAGATCTTGCAGGAGAGCAACAAGATCATGGTCCATCAGCTGGAGAAACTTGAGGCCTTAAAGTACAAGTGAGTCTCAGCGTTTAGGCCTTGGCGGTTGGCGGGGTTAGGTTCTCATGGGCTTATTCCGTGGGCTGGAAGAAAACAGAAGCCTTTTGGGCAGGAGAGAAGGGCTTCCAGAAGCGCGCTGAGAGAACATTCTTCACAGGTGCACATTTTTGTATATGTGTGTGTGGGGAACGCACAGGAGAGGGCCTTCTCTGTCGTTGCTCCAAAACTGTGGAACTCCGTGCCACTGGAGGCTAACTTGGCCCCATCTCTTCCGGCAGGCTTTCCCTTAATGACGGGCTGCCTGAGTGGAGTTTTTTCCTCAAATCGATTTCTGTGCCTTCCTGCTTTGAATGTGTTTTGGGGGTTGCTTTCCTTTACTGTCTTTTCGTACGGTCCCTGTATGATCCTTTTTCGCTATTTGCACGTTCACGGGGGAACTAGCCTTGCCTCTCTTGTTCTCCTTTGCCCACACCTGACGCGCACCTCTCTTGCGACACGCCTCTCCTGTCCCTCAACCATTTCCCATCCTTCTCCCTCTCAGTGAGTCTCCCCCTGACAGATCCAGAAGCAAGTCGAACGACTCGCCCTTCACGGACTCCGAGCTGGTGGGCAGCGCAGACCGCCGTTTCTCCATTGGCCGGCGGAACACCCTCCGCTCGGGCGGCAGCATCACCTTCAAGTCCGTGGAGGTGGTGGGCATGGCGAGCGAGTACGACGAGGACGAGAGGATGGAGAGGGTGGAGGAAGGGAGCGAACACGAACTGGAGCACCAGCTGAGGATGGAGGAAGAGAAGGTGGAGATGGTGCAGGCTCAGGTATGGAGGCCGGGGCTGGGTGGGTGGCGCTCAGGTGCTCACAGTCCCCTTGCCCCCGGGGGCCCAGGCGTTCGCGGCACGACAAACACCCGCTTTCTTACAACTGTCTTCCTCCCAGAAATAACCTGGAAAGGTCATTTTGTTAGGGCTTCAGGGGAATTTTGACAGGAGGAGCAGCAGAATGGTGAAGAACGTGGGCTGTAAAGC